TACAGTGTGGACAGAGATCGGCCATTGCACAATCCCGCCTCGCCATTCCAAAAATACATACAACAGTTTTTAGTTTTCCCTCTCCACCTTCACCACGGCTCTCCTCCCACACGCTCTGCACCTTCTACCTTTTCTCAGAACGCACAAAAATAGTGAATCGGTTTTCAGTTAGTTTTTTGTGGCCCATAGAGGGTCGGTGAAAGGGCCACGTTTCAGCAGTTAGCCCCAGGTACGTCCGCCTCAAGGTGAGCGCGCGGTCGGCGTGTTTGGAATAGCAACGCGTGGAGGTGAGCCGGGCGAGGGGTTCACATGGGCCGCTTTCTTTGTGAGCTGGAAAGAACAGTTGCGATATTCCCTAAGCTCTACTGATACCTGCAAATCCGGGGAAGCATGGGAAGCTGTCGGAGTGCGATGAAATTTGCTGGTGAAAAGTAGTATTTTTCAGGTGGTTTGGAAGGTTTTTGGTGCATGGAAGGTTTCATTCAAACTGGGGTGCCTTATTTTCAAACTACAAATCTGTCTAACTAGCTCTTCACTCTCTTTAAGTTAGGTTAATTGTCCTTTGCATTTGACCCATCTTTCAAGGGCCTGTGACAGGAGCAGAGGTCGCTGTAGCAGGTTTACTCACTGTAAACCTACTGTATGCACAGACATGGGTGCAAACTCCTCCCAGAAAAGCCCTGTTCCTATCAAGATTAAAACCCGGGAACCTCTTCTTGCTAAGAAGCAAGAGTGCTAATGAAGAAGATGACAAAGCATTCTCTTGAGGTTTTTCAGTTTTGGCTTGAAAAAAAAACACTTTTTGTGTAAAAAAAAAAGTAGTCTTCTGTTCTGTAGATGTTACAGACAATGCCCGCATCCTCCACCACCTGAAGAAGATGACATAGTCTGGGATCGCGTCTTTCATTCAGACAGAAGACATGTTTTATTGTCAATGGTAGAGACAGCACGAACAACACGGACAACAGAATGCAAGTGTATTATACAGAGCGGAGGCATGGAGACCTCCAATCAGCAGCTGCCACAGTGTGCTTGTAGCTTGGCCTTCAGATAGACAAAACAAGGGAAAAGTACTGGCTTCTGCACATTGATAGAATGATGAGTTTAACAAAAGTTGCTTCAAAGTGTTATGAAATCTCACACTAACCACAAGAGTGCCATCAAGACGCCCTCACAAAAGAATGTTATGTTAAAAAAAAATCTTTCCAATATATTTCTCAAATTTTCTTTTCACCTATACTTAAAGCTCAAGTACTTGAACATTTTCAAAAAAGAACATAGTGTGATTTTTTTCAGATAGGAGTTTTAGTATTCCGGCCTGCTTGTAAACTTAAGCCTAGCGTACATCGACAGAGAAACTGGGGACAACTAGTTGCAAGGCGGCTTTTGGCAACTGAGAGGAGATGGTGGGAGATGATCAGTTGCCGAAATCGGTCGATGTGCGCGCTCTTACAACTGGAGATGATCAGTCGGTCTCCAGTTCCAGTCAGTTGCCCGTGTTCTACTTTTCGGCAACTAGTTGTCCTCAGTTGCTCCGATGTGCGCGCTCCATGCGCCGCTCCGACAACGTGTGTGTATTGCGTGTATAGCGCGCCCGCAACAGTTTATGTCAGAAAACACACTGTAGTTGAGGCCAGTTGCTGTCGATGTACGCGCTGTTATTCAAGAGACTGGCCTGCGACTCAGAGTTGCCCGTTTTCGCCAGATTGTCGATGTGTGCGGGGCAGCAACTCAGAGGCGACGGATATAATCAGTTGCCAGTCCGATGTACGCTAGGCTTTAGCTTGTGGCTTAGAAAGAAATCCAGACGACCTACACTACTCAGCTCTTCCTCCCCCCCACAAATAAACAAAGCCCACCCCTGCCCCCTGCTGTTTACGGTCATTAACCACATTTGCATTTGAAATGTTAGCAACCAACGTAGCACATTAGCTTCTCCTCTTCAAAATGGGTGGGGGAAACAGCCGGTACTTCTAGTGTTAAGTTTCAAACCACAAGAATATACTTAGTTGTCATTAGTTCATCGATCCCTCTGTCCCCCCGCCGGCGGGGGCAAACGAGAAAAAAAAACTTCAGCTGGCAATAGCAGATGTATTTTGAACTTCATAATCCACAAGCTATATATCATTTTAAAGCTTATTTTCTCAGCTATATTTATATGTAAACGATATCAGACTTTGCATTAAAAAGATATAACGCATAATATGGGCACAAAATAAATCGTGTTTGTATAAGTTTCTTACCTTTTGTCTTCTGCTGCTCCGACAAATTAGACTTTCCCCATCCTTGCTTAGTCTCTTTCTCTCCGTAAGTCTTCAGTGAAAAAGAATATCCACTTGTATTTCCCAAAGTATAATCCATTCTTCTGAAATAATCCAAAAATGTGCATTTTTCTTTTGCAAAAAAAAAACGCTCCGAAAAACGTTCAGGCTTCTCTTTCACATTTCACCAAGTTTGAGCTTTGTTTAGCCCCACAAGCATCATATCTACGTGTTCCTTGAGCTTCAAAATAGAGGTTCCATGAAAAGATAGGAGCAGGTTTCAGTCCGCAGCACCCTTGTGAAAAAGACGAACTGCATCCACTTGCAGAGGGTCCGTTTTTGCCTTGTTGTTGATTACAGGCTAGCGCAATGTGCTAGCACTGAATGATTGACGTGTCTAAGTAGCCAATAAAAAGAGTTTTCTTTTGATGGGTGGGACTTGTAGGAACTCTTTTCATTTTCACAGTAAAAGCGTGCGTAAAGACGCTGTTAATACTGCTGCACATATTTAATATGCATTTACACTACTAAAAAAATTATTTTGAAAAAATGTAAAGGAAAATCACACAGATTTGTAACTTATAAGTACCAAAACTAAAAAATATGCTTTTTATGATGGTGAAATGTTAGTAAAGCAGTTTGGCACAATTTGGCACACATTTTGCCAAATTGGTTCCGAATGGCACTACTTGATAAAAAAGAGAAACTGCATAAAAACTGTAAAACTTAGAAGTCTGAAACTTTACACAGTTGTTGTCAACAACACAATGAACAAATTGGCGTTGAACATTTTCTTCTTCCAATGAAGTAGGCTTTTTTAGGGCATTTGTATATTGAATTTTTTAGGCGAGGCTAAAAAAAACAGGTTTTTTTCCCAAACTTCAAAGGATTCAGAGTGAAATAGGATTACATACACATACATTATTTCAGTGTATATTTACATAAACTAGAAGGGCCTAGCTTTAAAATGATGCATCACACAAGCATGTGAGATGTAAGATGTGTTTTTAAATAAGCAAAGACATTTGGGTATGCCAAACTTTTGTGCACGAGCCAAAACAGATGTAGGAGTTTAAGAGGTTTTAAACAAGTAAGAATGCAAAATGAAGACAGCATGTTGTGGAATTATGAGTGACTTGGTCGTGAACTGTATCTTTTCAGAGTCAAACGAACCTGTCGATGATGATTAGTGCCATTGAGGAAGAACGAAAAGTAATATTTGTTTTTAATGGAGTGGATTAATGCTCCAGAAAACGGTAAAGGAGTTTCTTTTACCGTCAATGTTTAATGAAGCCTCATTTTTGCTTTTGAGAGAATTTAGGTCAGAACTTGGCTTGTCTTGTTTTCTCCCCTTTGACTGAAGTTTTGTCTCCAGTCAAAACTTAAAAAGAAAATCTAATTAATGAAATACAATTATCATAGAACACCCTGTTTCTATTTGATTATGCAAACGAGCAGTGAGTTTCTGTGTTAAATACAGTACTTTTAGGTGATTTCTTCTCCCTCGCTTATTTCCTGTTATGAATTTATGTTAAGACATGGAACAAAAGTTAATCCGGTTTCAAAACAGATATATTTGTTTTGAAAGTTTATCAGAAAGTTCTAATCCTCCAGTTTCCATCTAACATGTATTTGTTGATAGCAGTAAATTTTAGGATTTGCTCATTGAGAGGTGACTCAATATATTCTTATTGCACGAAATGATATCAGTTGAAGAAGATGACATAGTCTGGGATCGCGTCTTTAATTCAGACAGAAGACATGTTTTATTGTCGATGGTAGAGACAGCACGAACAACACGAACACAGAATGCAAGTGTATTATACAGAGCGGAGGCATGGAGACCTCCAATCAGCAGCTGCCACAGTGCCATGTAGCTTGGCCTTCAGATAGACAAAACAAGGGAAAAGTACTGGCTTCTGCACATTGATAGAATGATGAGTTTAACTTCAACAAAAGTTGCTTCAAAGTGTTATGAAATTTCACATTCCCCCCTCTGGTCACACATTCACGTGTGACCATCAGGATGGATAAACAGCAACATAACATCATAACTCAATACTTCAAAAACTCATAAACCCGGTACTTCACTCGGTACTTCAAAAAACTCAGAACTCGGAATACTTCAAAAACTCATAAAACATGTTCAGATCTTTCATAAAACTTGTCAACAATCTTCAGTAAAATACCAAACTTCATCAGTCGATGGTGGTTCCAGATATTGCTTTGAAAACAGTCTCTCCCACTTCTTTGTTTTGATTCTTCAGGCTGCATTTGTGTCGAGCCATGAATTCTTCTGTGACGTGTTATTTCAAATCACACGTTTCAGCTTCAGTGTCCAGATTCAGCAATTCAATTCAGTCCAAATTATGTCCAAATTCAGAAATCCAATTGTTCCAAATTATGTCCAAATTGTGTAATCCAATTGTTCCTTAAATTATTTATGGACGTTGGTCATCTGCCCCTTATTGACCACTGGCTCTAGTTTTTTTTTTTAAGTTTTTTTTATCATTGCATTTGCTGTATTTGAACTGTTTGATTCTCTGATCTGTGTTGGCGAATCAACAGCTTTGTAAAGTCCTCCGAGATAACTATTGTTGTGATTTAGGTTTATACAAAAATAACAGATTGATTGCATTGACTATAGACTTCAATGGAATCATTTTAGGGGTCAAAACAAACTTATGAACACTCGCAAATGGGTACAGTCCCTATAACCTGCTCTCCTCTGCTCCACAGAGCCCATGCGAGCCCTGCGAGGACTCACCTCCACAGAGATCCAGCCTCGACAGTTGTTCCTCCAGTGGGAACCTCTGGGCTACAACCTGACGCGCTGCCACACCTACACGCTGTCCCTGTGCTACCGCTACTCCATGCCCACAGGGGGCAGCGGCGGGAACAATGCCACGGTGCGAGAGTGCCTTTCTGTGGAGAGGAACACGTCTCACTTCACCCTGAGGGACCTGCCTCCCTTCCGCTCCGTGCACGTTCGTCTGGCCCTGTCCAACCCGGAGGGCAAGAAGGAGAGCCGAGAGGTCACCTTCCAGACGGAGGAGGACAGTGAGTACTTGGAATGCTTGTCCGTATATTGAGAACCTTTACAAAGATCTATTGAAAACCTGGAGTGCTTGCCCAGTCCAATCGATTGAACAAGACACATGTGAAATTCCAGTCTGTTTTTGTTATAACTGTAGACTGTATATACAGTATATGGATAATGCTGTCCTGCTAGCTCAAAGAAACCCAATAAGGAAGTGCTCATGGGCAAAATTTAGCTCAAACTTGCTCATATCAACAACTGAGGAAAAAAAAGATGGCAACATTTCACCTAACCTAATCTGCTTAAAAATAGGCTTTTAAACATACATTTTATTGGAATCAGGTCCATTGTTAGACCTGATCGGTGGACACATAAAAGATGCAGTTTGAAGCAAAAATATGACATTAAAACATGACTTTAAGTAGGTTAAAACATATTTAATCAACTACTTATTTAGCTGACAACTCTTCTCAATTTGTTTTCATTATGGTATTAACTAAAGTTACAGCCCTCAACTTCCCATATACTAATATTTGAGAGTGTTTTAACAATGAAATGTTTCCTTTATTCCACCATGGATTTATTTGCCACTTTCAAACCTCCTGAAAATAACACTATGGGCTTTTTTAATGAATCACAATCACTACCTGTTGTAACTTAATTATACGGAACAGGCCGCTTTTATTTATGCAGTTAATTTTTCCTATTTCCGCCCCCGTCCACCGCCTCTCCCCATGAACAGATAATTACTGTTCACCGCTTCCACAAATCCTACGTCTTTAGTCACAGCACCGACAGAAAAAACACACACGCGAGCAAATATTGACCAACAGAATAAGCAGGATCAGCGTAACTAAACAAGATAGCTGCCTCCTCAATGGGGAGTGTGCAGACATTAATCAGCGTGTTCTGTGGCCCGTGGCTGAGGCGCTTACATGATTTTCTTTATATTTGTATTCATATATTCCTTAACATTCGCAGCAGATGTCGTCGTAATGGCAAATATTACTGAAGGTCAAGTTGCAGTGTGAGATTTGCAGGTTTTTGGTGAAGCCGAAATGTAAATTTGACCAGATTTTTCATGACAAACAATCATAACAAGATGTCCAGATAAATAAACTCTCTCTTCTTTATGAGCAGCAGAACCTACGGAGCTCCTCAATCTACCATAGAGTAGAAAACTAAAGATTATTTTGGCAATTGATTATTATTATTGTCATTGTTAATCAAGTTGTTTAGAGCACCGATCTGAAATGTCATCAAGATTTGGCTTCAGTGATGCATCTTGAGGACATTCTAATTACTGAATATTTCAAGATTTCAAACCAGCTTTATCATAAAAAGAGCACCTTTTTATCAATTAATACATGGTGTTATGTTTGTGTATAGAGTGCTTAAAGCTTGAATAGCTAACTTTAAAATCACAACAAAATAACTGTGGAAGAAAACCCATGTAATACAAGTTCCACTCTCTTAACTGTTCTGTCACTAGTTTTCACATGCATGTAATTTTTGCTCTGTCATATTGTTAGATTAGTTTTTCAGTAAAAAGGTTATGTAAAAAAAAAAAAAAAAGACCAGTTCTCTCTCACCCAATCAACTGTCAGTATGCAAAGCGTTAAAAGGTTTTCTGATTGAATAAAGACAGTATGTTGTGGCCTGATATGGGTGGGAGTAATAAAGTACGGTGACTTGTGACGGCTGGATATTTTAATACATCCTTTGTTCTTCTGACAATAATACTTTAAACTTTATGCAAACGGTATTACTTTATTACTAATGTCAATGACTTTTAGAATGATGGATGTGCTATTTTTGCTGCTAGACCCTTTATGGTTTCCAACAGGGATCAATACATCTATCTATATTCTGACTTTGAGTTCAGCGAGGTAGGACTCTGATTTAAAGTTGTTTTTCCTATTTTGGAGGAGGTGACGGAATTTTGCATGATGTATCTTTTCTTCAAATAGACCTAATTTACAAGTTCAGAATTAGTTTTTTGTTTCAGGAATAATGCCATATGCTTGTACCAGCTGAAAGAGTCTTGTAAAAAGTCAAATCAGACCACATCATGCTGTCTTCATCTTATTAGAAATGATGTTATCTTTTTCATACTTGTAACAAAGAGCCCTGTGAGTCACTATTTCACACTTTTGGGCTAAGATTGGTCCTCTCTTTTTCATTGTTTTTCCCATTTGAAAAAGCTGATCAAGAGATGGCAAAAAATTGAGAGCGAGGAAGGAGTTTGATACATTTGATTACATAGTTCCATTTTGTTGTGGTTTGTAAATTAGGTACCCTAGCTTTACAATCCAAAACTCTCTAGAATCCAATCAGAATCCAAATGAAACGTCAGAAGCCAGTTTGGGGACCTTGAAAAACGGCAAACAACTTTTTGGGTCAATTTTTCTGCTGCCATTTAAAAATAGGATTCAATCTTTTCTGCGCTGGTCTTGCCGGGCGCAGCTATTCCTACACGCATATTATGAAAGGGTCTATTTTTCAAAAACTAAACAAAAAAGGCTTTTTTCATCCAAGAATGATATTTAAACAACAACTCGTCCTTTGTCCGAGTCTGAATCTCCTGCATGCAGATCTGGGCGTATAGGGACTTTTTTTTTATTGCTGCTGCAAAACGCACTTCAGCATCTGGTGAAGCAGCAATTTTGTTTTCCATGTGATTTAACAGCAAGTAAAGTGGAAGAATATGCAAAAAAAATATAAAAAAGCAGAAGGCAGGCCTAATTGACCACGCATGGTGCACTGAGACATTTGTCTTTATGTAAGTGAAATGAAAGAAGATTATGTAATATGTTTTAACTATCACCACGGCCATGATCAAAATATGGTCTAAGCCACCAGTTGGGTTCAGTGAAGTATAGCCTTAAGTATCTTTTCTGGAATCAACAGAGAAACTATGCATTTTAGGGAGGAAGTTTTATAAAGCAGGTTGCGTGTAAGAAATACAGGAATTGTTAGAGTTTTTATTTTTGTTGTTTTGTTTTCTGTAATTTAATTTGAGAGACTTTTAATTTGTCAGCATTAAGGTCATGTTCTGTAATCTTCACGGTCATGATGTAATACAATAATCGTATATAATAAACGCAAAATGCGTACGGTTTTCGACAACTTTAGCAGGACAGGCATTATATTAAGCGAACCCGCCCGGACTAGAACCAGTCCACTGCACTGGTCTGGCCTCGGTCACACTGGATCTGTGCGTGTGGACAACAAACACAGCCTTTTCCAAAAAGACCATTTGTTTTTAATTCACGCACGGCTGACTTAATAACACATAAAACCAGGCCACTACCCAAAATAAATTACAAATCAAATTCAAACTCAACAAAATTGCAACTGGTAATTTTTCATAATGCATCTTCTCTGTATATAGACCTAATTTACAAGTTCAAAATCAGTTCTGTGTTTCATGAATAATGCAATATGTTTGTCCGGGCCGAAACAACATCATGCAGTCTTAATCTTATTAGGAAACATGTTATCTTTTAGCTACTTGTAAGAGAGAGCCCTGTGAGTCACTATTTGACTCTAACGTAGGCTTCCACATGTCTTTGGTTATTATTGTCTTTTGTTCTATTGCCGGAGACAGTCCATGTACACAATATCCACACACGTCATCACCCACTGCTGACGAGACAGAGACTGAAGGAGTTTTCCACCTTGAGGCTACCATCTTTTTGGCTGCCGAAATGCTGGCCAGTAGCTCTCTCTGATGCATTCCGTTAGGTCCAATCTAACTGTGGAAACTTCTATATAGGATCAGAGCGGCGCGCCCATTTCACTACATCTTTCAGATAAAGTTTATGCCTTAAAAAAAATCTGATCTTCCAAACAAATCCAAGCAATGTCAAACACATACAATCATATCCGCGTGCTCATGATCACACTCCACAATTACATTCTCGCGCATCTGGTTGTAATCGTATACTGCAGATATTCACCTATCTTGACACGTTAAAAGCGCGCATTGTTTTGGCTCTGTTGACTCGATATTTGCCGGCGACAGCACACTAGAAAGTTTGTTCCGCTTGCCGAGGTTTGTGAATGCCACTCTGACAGCTCTGACAGTCTGCAATCCACGCGTCAGCCCGGCCGCGCCATCTCATGTCTATACAGTAATTGCGGCGCGGTTCGGTGACAGCTCCTAGAAGTGCTTTGCTCACGGGCACTCGCCGGCTGCTTGATCGCGCTTGACTGTCAGGGAGGCGTGGGTTCCACAAAGAGCTGTTTCGGAAAAAAGGAGAGATGAAGGAGCGTTCAGAGAGGTAGTTTGATGTCGCGCTCAGAAGCAAAAAAAAAAGGGGGAATTGAGAATTTCAGGGTTTTGGGGAAAGGCAACAAAAGAGGTGAGGTTTGGAGCATTGTGTGCAAGATTTTGTGCAGCAAAGTTGTAACAAAAGTATGGTTTGACAAATAGCACAAATGTTTCCTCATGTCTTGCCTGGTCGTACCACACCATAGTACAAATTACATATCGTCCTAAGGTCTGGAGGTGCTCCATTGTACTCCGTTAGCAGGTGGGAGGGGTTAACTCCTTTTGCAGATTGAAACGATTGGATCTAAGTTTATTGTCACGTATGTATTGCGCCCGAGTGAGTCGTTAGCTTCAATTTCTTGATAGAACTAGACCGGATTACTTTACTATCGCATTTTTCTTCATTGCTAAACTACAACCTGCCTGTTCGACGCAAACTCTTGACGCCACCCACAACTAACTACAACACCCGCCTCATGCGCTCACTGATTGGTTGGATGGAATTCAACTGATTGTAATCGCAAACACAGGGAACAGACCTAGACGTTACATGCAGGGAAATGATAACATGACTTAAAGCCCAATCCTTTAGTTTAAGCCAAATGTTATTAATGTTATAACAAAAAAAATGCTATGGTATTTTTTTTTTTCTTGAATTATACATTTATTCGTCCCAACAGATGAGGTCATGTCAAAGTAAATTTATGTGAGTCACTAATGTATACATTGGAATGAGATCTGATTGGCTGAGTGGGGGTGGTCTTCTCTTTTTCACTTTTCTGTTTAATTCTGTCGGAAAAAGCAGATCTAAAGATGTGACAGAGGCCATCAATATAGGCATAAGTGATAGCACCAAACTGTTTTGAGAAGTAGCTAGATGCATATTATTACACTTTCATTTCACTTTTAATTAGGTTCAAACTTAAAAACAATCTATTACTCTCCATTATGATCCGCTGCAATGTTGTACTGAATAGTGGGAGGTGGACATCGACAATAAATGAATAACCAATAACTGTGCATAGCATTTAAATTAATCAACGTACATACATGTAATGCAATCTGCTTTTCAGTCCCTTAGAAACCAATGGGAGTTATTACATTCCATTCAAATATCTATATATATATATATATATATATATATATATATATATATATATATATAATAAATATATATATATATATATATATATATATATATATATATATATATATATATATATATATATATATATATATATATATAATATATCTTATAAATGTTGGTTGGAAAAATAGTCCATGCCTTGAGGGTACAAAGTCAAAACGCCTTCTTGCATGATTTCTAGTAATTTATTTGTCCAGTATTATGTTTTTTTTTTTCCATATCATGATTATGGGCGTTTGTCCACTTGTATACGTTGCACACTGTTAATTTGAAATGTACACATTTCAAATGAACAGGCTTCTCGTCAGTCTGTAATTTCATATTTTAACTGCATACGTTTTGTGCATAATTACTGCCCACTCTGTATGTTGATTGCTGTACAGAAACGTATGATTGAGAAGGGGTATTGTGCTGGGTAAATACATGCATTTGTTCAGGTGTGATTCAACGGTCTAATTATTGCACAATGCTGTTGGCACCACAGTCTTCTCATTATCTCAAGTTGTTTACGTCTCTGTTCAAACCGACTCTGACTGACATTTTCTGCTTCAATAAAAACCTTCATCTAACATGCACAGGATTTAAAGCTTGTTAATAATTCAAAGCTCTGTATTTCTGGCTACGAGAGTCCATGCTTGTGTTGTCAAGACAAACCAATGGAAGTAGACTGTAGCAAAACAAGGTTGAAATCAGGATGATGGTTAAAAAAAGAAGATTTTAGATAGATATTGATTCAAAAATATGTATATTATAATTTTCAACCCTCCTTCAATGCTGAAAAATAGAGAACAATAGATGGCATGTCATCTTTACCTGCCATTTATTAATTAAATACTATCAGTAATAATTAAAAACAAGATTTATAAATTCATCAGTTTTTCAAATGAAGAGACTATATTATATATATATATATTTTTTTTTTTTTTGTCTGTCACTGTCACTCCTTCATGCATTCTGCTACACATATTATTTTATTTGTGGTGAAACTTCATTTCTTTCCACTTTACTGTTGGCCTATGTCTCATGCAACACAAGACAGATTCCTTTCTCGGCAGCCTTTATCCCTCCAGCACCAGTGTCTCGGCCCCTGGGTGATTCATGGATTTCAGCTTCCTTTTTTATGCAACATTTCAAACTATTTCAAACCACCAAAAATGTAATTATGTAACGAGTTCCTCACTCTCAAAACACGTTGGTTCTAGAACTAGTTTTCACCTGCAGGTAATTTAAGCCTTTGTCACATCTGTAGATCAGCTTTAGTTTGCAAAAGATCAAATGTTTTCTTTTAATACAATGAAGACAAGACTATGTTTCTGTTGGCACAAACAGCGTCATTCATGAAAGAAACGAGTTTTACTGACCCATGGTTTTAACCAACATGGGTAGATGCACATACAACTCTGTTCTTTGTAAAGAACCTGCACAGCTTTGGTCAGCGGCCGACCACAGTGGACAGAAGTTGTTGTAACAGCAGCCTGTAAAATGTAACCTCTCAAAATGTGTGCGAAAACAGTAATTTTTTTTTGTGCTATTTATCATAATTAAAACCCCTAGATATGTCTTCTGGCCATTCTTTTTGTCCTTTGTGTCTAATCTTCAAAGATAGTCTTTCAGTTATAACTTTGTTATAAGCCATACCTGAAATCAGGAAGTCTCTAAAATCCGGTGTTTGAAAGAGCCAGCGTACTAAGCACAATCATTTTAACTTTTCATTACTGTCTATAAGAGGTGAGATTTTTTCAGAATTTTTGTCTTGTTGGTTAACAAAAGTCTTATTCTTCAATAATTTGACTTTAATAACAAATAATTATCAATGAATATATATATATAATATTAGATTGATAGTATATTGTGGAAATGGGAACATTAGCTACTGACCCAGAGTTTATAGTTTGAATATATATCGTATCATATCGAGCTGGATATCCTGTGTCTGGATATGTGTTGTATCTTGTGGAAGGTACAGAGATGCATATCTTACTGACAGGCTCTGAGAGATACCCAGCCCATACTTTCACAAGTGTTTGTTTGTAGTTGAGATATCTGCTTCTCTTTTCCTCCTGAGGCCTGTCTCCCCTTCCTCCTTCTCCTCCTCTTCCTCCTCACTCTGCTGTTCTTTAGAGGTGGCTCTTTGTCCTGCTGTCAGACAGACCCCCTGGCTCGCTGGACTTCATTAACTGAAGCCCCAGCGATGGCCACTGTTTGTTTCTCACACACTTTGTTTTTCTCCAGTTCCCGGCGGCATCGCTCCAGAGTCGCTGACCTTCACCCCGCTGGACGACATGATCTTCCTCAAGTGGGAGGAGCCAGTAGAGCCCAACGGACTCATCACGCAGTACGAGGTAAAGAAACGACGTCCTTCATTTGTTAGTAATGGAAAAAAATACACTTACAATAGGGGTCTCCAAACTTTTCTCCAAGGAAAGCGACTATTGTATATCAAAACAAAATGATGAGATATTATTGTAGGCAGGAGAAAGCCGACATGTTGATGTAAACAAGACCTGAAAACAAAATGTGTTTTATTGGACAAGCAGCTTTAGTCTTTATTATAGTGTCCCATTGGAAATTATTGTTTAACGACTGTCAAAATGTATTAAAATTAACATAAATTAAGCCAAATTTTGCTCGTCTTATGCACATACAACACGTATAGAGTTATTGTTCATTTGTCTTGTGTTGTCCTCATTCCTACTGGGGATGCAACACTGACATTTCCCACTGTGGGACGAATAAAGTATCTCTCAATCTTAATCTTAAAAGCAGGTCTTGTTAGGTGAAAGCGACTATGCACTTTGAAATAGTGAAAAACACCGTTTAAATTGAATCCAAGACCAAGCCACAAAAGAGTATTTCATAAGACTGACAAGAAGAATCAGAAGACAAGAAGTTGCACAAAGGAGGTTTTGGAATGTGAATTGAACAATGTAGTCCAAGTCATTAAGAATATGAGATGACGTCTGTAAGGAACAACTGAAATGACGGGACAAAAACATAGCTCCCTTGTTCTCACAGTGAAAAGAAACAGTTCCAGGACAGCCTGACTTGTTGTAGTAACGATCACTAACAGGTTAAAATAGGAAATTGATATTCTGTGTGTGTTGAGTCCATTGTTTACCTTTGTGAAGATCCCATTTTGTCAGTTGGAAATGTAAGTGTAAATGCCACAGGAAGGCTGACAGTTGCTGAAGAAACTTTTTGAAAAGGTCACAGATGGGGAAAGACAAAACCAGCGCCAAAATAAGTTATTATCTGATGGTGTCCAAACTGGGATGTCTACTTCATACATACAGAAACTGAGTATAGGAAAGTGATATAATGTAATACTGTCCTTTGACAATTCCATTAAGTTTACCTTAGATATTTTGCATCAGAATCAATCCTCATATTCAAATTGATGTATGTCCACTGTAGTGTATTCACTGCTGGTTTATATTTCATTTTGCAACTGTACAATTCCTCAAGTGAAGGACTAAGTCAATATGTTTGTGAATTAAAAGGCATTTCAAATCCCCAAATCCAATAAAACCTGCTCCACAACAATTTAAGCTGGTTTGACCAACTTTCAATCCCTCAAAGAATTATACAATAAAATGTTTCAAAAATTAAAACTATTTCAAACCACCAAAAAGATTGAGATTCAGTGTATTTTCCATTTGCAGTAAAGACATATTGGAATACATGTACAAAAGTACATCAGTGTGCACCAGACGAGTACATAAATAAAACAAGCTTAAAACGTACAGGAAACAATCGTCACTGTGAAATCAATCAACAGAAACAGTTTAAAAAAGAAGTGCAAGATCAAGTGTTTTTTTTTTTTCAGACAGAAAACTAGAGGCCCCTCATTCAACCAATCAGCTCTCAATTAGTGACTCACAAGTATGTAAATTATAAAACAGCATGGTGTGTTCTGATTTGTTTACAAAATTATACTTTTATAAGACGCCATGTTGGAAGAAAACAAGAAAACAACAGGATTGTGAGGTTTCCTTATTACATTTTGAGTTTTGGCCACTTACGTAGAGAAACATTAACAACAAGTATTTTGGACGAGCCCCAAAATACGTCCCCTTAACTCCACTCACTTCCAAAATCGACCATTGTTTTTAATGATTAGTCCCAATATGTTGAAATGGCAGACCGATTGAATGAATAAAAGAACTAAAGCTAGTGGCAAAAAACCCCGGAATAATGCGTCTTTGAAAACTGCAAAAAAATTCCGCTAACATCAAAATTCTCTCTAAACGCATGAAAGAACAGCTTTTAAATGTATTTTTCAAAAGTCTTTCCCTCTAATGACGACCCAAAACAAGCAAAAAGCCATTTTGGGAACGGCTTGTACACAACAAACTACTACGACAGGTGTCGCTATCATTCCCCATTGACACTATGTATCTATTTTTATTTTTTCCCCCCCCCCGGCTGGTTCTTTCTGTGCCGACAGCCGCATGCATGACCCAGTTGTGTGCGCGCTGAACCCACTTTTCACACATGGGTAGATTTACAGTGCGCGCTCGTATGCTATTAAAGCCACGGCCCAGACTGAGAGCTGTAATTGCATAAGGGACAGCCATTCTAATTATGTATTTGCTTAAGAGATGCCTCCTCTAGGGGCCACTGTAAATGTGTCTAATTAATTATTGACAGACGATAAAAGCATAGGTCTGTATAATGCACGTGTACATTTGGGCTAGTGTGATTTTTTTTTTTTTTGCAATCTAGTTTTTTGCTATTTGATTACAGTTAATACACTTGAAATTCAATCCATATTTTTGTATAGCCCTAATTCACAGCAGTCGTCTTGAAGGACTTTACAAAGTTGTCAATTCACCAACACAGTTTCACAAACTGTTGGAACAGAGGAATGCAATAATAACAAACACATAGGAGCCATTGGTCCATAGGAAGCTGGATGACCAATGTCAATAAATGTCTATATATGTCCATAAATGTCCTGCATCATTACCACTGTCCTTCAACTCTCCTGCATCAGTAAGGACCGACTCAAAAAGCCAGTGGGAAAAAGTGAGAAACCTCGGGGTGGGGGGGCATATCAACGGAAGGCTCTGCTCCCATGAACAGACGGGTTGTAGATTCAGGATTGAGGCTCTAAAACGTGGACCCAGGCCCTGTGTTGCAGGACTGATGCGGCTCCCAGGCAGGGAGGGGAGTGGTGCCCACAAGTCCGGACAGGGAGAAACAGTCCATTCAGGGGTCCCATCATCACGCCATGAAACAGACAATGGGACTGTGAACTGAAGGTCAATTTTATTGGATAAGAAGACTTCTATCTCTTCAGAGAATTCTGTCACCGATATAAATTGTTTTTTGTTTTTAATTCCCGTATATGCTCGTAGTTATACTGATGACCCCAGATTTTGTTCCTGATAATGAACACTATTATGAGAGTGGTTTTCATCTTCCAAACCCTCTTTATTTTATTTTTACACATGATGCCAAACCCAAGGCTAAAGCTTTGAAGAATGCATTTTCTGTTTTCAAAGGGTCTCGTGTGACCATTCAACTCGTGAATTTCCATCGCAATTAGCTCTCCAGCCTTGGCGTGGATGGCGCGAGAGGTTGAACGCACAGCGGCACGATTCAAAAGGACTTTTTCATCAAGAAGAGAAAGTGTGAAGCGAGGAGGAGACAGAGGAATGATTGGTGCGCTGCCCTCAGTCCACACAGATGAGGCCTGCTGTCTGTAACATCTGACCTGCTGCTGAGCCCAACGGAAAAACACACTCAAACACAATAACTGTAAGACTTAACAGAAGGAAAAGTTCTCAGAGCGCTTTGTAAATGAAGGTTTTCTGAGGTTGAGAAGCATGTTAGCGCGTACATGACCATGACTTTATTGATATGGTCGTCAAGGCTCCACAATGAATCGCAAATTGAAAGAAATTGAAGGTTTAGTGGCTGAAATTGTCTTTACGAACAACTAATTGTTGCACATTATATAAATCAGGTTATTTCTGTGTTTTGAGCTCTGAAACAGGTGTAGAAATACAAGGATCACTGAAAATGCCAACTGCAACTATTACTAGTTTATGTACCAAATAAGGTAGCCCATCCATTTTTTTCCCCTTAACTCATTGAGTGCCACAAACTTAATTTTACGTACAGTGCCCCCATGCGTTGAGTGCCAGAAACGTAATTTTACGGAAATGCTTTTTTTCCTGCATTTTGAAAGTAGACAACCTGACACACATTGTGTGTAAATTTGGGAATGCTATGATAAATGTAATTGCTTAAATGACGATCTAAAACTCATTAAACACTTTAACGTGTGTTATTTATTGTTCATAACGCAGCTTTGAGTGGTTGTTGCATTGCCTCATATAGTGATCCTGGGCGGGGGTCAAAAAAGATATTTACGTGGGTTTGTCACTAGGTGGCAGTCTTGATTCATCCTTTAACTTCTCTCTGACACAGTGTTTCGCTAGCTGCTGACAGAGATCAGGGAAAAGTATCTAAAAAAAGTCAGTGCGCACCCGCCAGACACGCTTGATGAGTGCTTTATACATCACAGAAGTGAGTTAACTTTAGGCACTCGTGCACAGGAGGAAGGTGCACTCAAGAGGGAGTTTGCAGGTGCTGAGGCTGAAAGATCACCCTGGGCTGGTCCGAGCGGAATAGTAAGAGATAGTATAGAGATAGGGACCAATCAGATTGGTTGTGTAAGAGGTCGCGTATTCCTGCCGCTGTCTGCGAAAGAGAGGAAGATCTTTTTATGTTTGTTTTTATTTTTTATCATATTCCCACAAATAAACATTTGTATTCTAATTGTACATTCGTATTGTTGTTGCTGCTGTAGCAATGAATCTTCATATGGATCAACTTTAATCTCCAGTGTTCATTGTAAAGGAGGTATAGATATTCATATAGATTGAATTATTCCTTTATAAATACGTTTTTTGTAGCCTACCCCACGCCTATAAGGTATATCGACCTTATAAATGTCCGTGGACCCAGAAATGTATGTGTCAGAAGAAGGGCTGAAACAACTAATCGACGACTAATCGATTATTGAAATAGTCGACAACTATTTTAGTAATCGATTAATCGTTTTCTGGTTCACACGGACTCAAACAGAGCAAAAATGACATGAAAATGTAGTATTTTTGATTAAAACCGACTTTGTTTTTATAATTTCATGAATATCTGTCTGTCTCATCCAATCAGATAGCATAATTAGCACAAAGAGCCTGTTACAAACATTTACTTTAAGTTTACGCCATCAATACGTCCTCGAGTGTTGCCACTTTAGCTTTTTGTGATGAAAAAATAAAATGTTTCTACACAATTCACAGCCAACCGATTACTCAATTAATCGTAA